AGTCACCACACAAAGATAGGACGACTAAACAAAGAGTCGTACTCGCGACAGAGGACGCGCCAGGGCCGCCTTGGAGAAACCAGAGCGCCTTGGTGGACGACGTTCGCTTCGTCGCGCGCATGCGCTTGACAAAGACGGGAATCGAGCCGGCGGTATTGCAAAGGCTCTCGTAGCAGAGCGGAAGAGTAAACTCGGCGCACTCGACAGGCACGCTCGAGGTCGCTTGTGTAGTGGCCATCGCCAAGTCTGCAACTGATGACGCATCAAGAGGCCGAAGCAGCGTGGCGAGGACGTCGGGCTCTGCCCCCGAGAAGGCTGTCGTCTTGAAGCCGGTTGAAGGCGCCACGTTGGCCGGCGCCCGCGTCGCGAACGTCCGGGCGCTGCAGGCGTACCAGCCGTTGATCTTGATGGGGCTGGTCGCTGCATCGACAACTGCCAGAGCTACAAGCAGGAGGAGGAGGCGCATGCTGGACGCTTGCACTTTGCCTTTGCGGCGGACGAGAAGGTTGCACGCGCTGGCCTTTCTGTGCCGTATCCGGATTATCAGGTCGATGCGCGATGCGTTAAATAGGTTTTTATCAACAATAACGTATTCAGCACGATGTGAATACCTTTGAAATCGCTCGTGCGCAATGCAAGTTCGTACATTCGAATGCCAGTGGTAGACATTCTTGAGCCGTACTCGAGTCGGCTGTACTCGTATACTTGATATATTGATGGCGTTGCGCTGGACGGGTGCGTGCGTTAAATTGGTTTTTACTATAAAACCCATTTGGCTTCTCTCTCCCTCGACGACAGCTCTCTGGTTTTTGGATTAGGATGAGCATTATTTTACCATTGCGATAGCGCTCTGCAACTCGCACGTCGTTGAGCCAACGTCTATATTTATATAGGCTTTAGCTGGATCTGACAGTCTCGAGTGGTATCCTGTGCTCGTTGAGGCGCTCACAATACGCTCTGCGTACAATCGTCAGAGATACCCTCCTCCTGCACATATGAACGTGTTTCGCGTTATCTTCATAGTCTCCTGCATGTGAAAAGATCACGACACTTGCGTTGACGTTGCATCGACGACTTCAAGACATCCGCGAACAATGGGTTAGTATCGGCTATAGCCCTAAACAGCCTCGATTGGCATAAAAGCGTAGTTGAAAAGGGTCTGATTTTGCATGGAGCAACCTTTGTGTATAGCATAACGCACAATAATGTCGGTAGTTGTTATAGCTACAAGTACGCAAATAGGGCGGCACCAGCATCATGTACAGCACGACCGCCATGGAGCGGACCCAAGTAGCCATAGCCGATATTTGCACCAGCGTGGGGCAGGTGGTAGAACGGAAGTCCGCCGTCAAACATGAGTAGCGTCTGGTGCGACAACGGCATGCGAACGCGGGCGTCAAACACCGGGGTCCCAATCACCGTGACGTAGACTGGAATGGGAGCAGACGCAGTCGCGTTGGCTTGAGCGACGCCACGTGCATACGGCAGCGCGTCGACAGGAAATGACTCGTCGACACCAAAGAATCGGTTGTCTTTGGCGGGTAGCACTCCGTATTTCGTCCATTTCTTGCGTAAAACGAGGCGGGCGACGTCGCCCTTGGGCCCGATCCACGCGTCCCAGCTCGGTGGGCAGCTCGAGTACGGCGTGCGGAAAGTCTGAGACCACAGCACGTAGGTGTCGGCGTAGCGCTTGGCGACATCACCGCCAAGCGTCGCGTCGTCGTCGTCAAGGATGCACTTGGGCTTGGTGAGGAGACGACAGTAGTTGCGGTACGCCCGTTCGGTCGTCTGGTGGGCGTGCCACACAAGGGCAATGTCGACGGTCGGCACCAGCGTTGTCAA